TTTTTAAACATAGTTACCATTAAGTGTGAAATGACTTGTAGTCTCAGCATTTCATGACCACAACTTCCAGATAAATACTGGTTAGTCTAAGACAGTGCTGCAAAATAACAGTGTTTCAGCTCTTTAACCAAACTGTAGGTTTTTGCTGACCAGAGTCTACTTCATATGTTACAATTATTGTTGTCTTTTGACAGTACTTGGCATTACTGTATTTGTTTGATGTTCTCAGATATTTTGGGCTTCCCTTTGGAGCAAAACACTAGGAATAAGGAGAGTAACACAGTTGATTCTAGACCATGAAAATGTGTACAACAGTAAGTGTTTAAATCTTTAAGGTGCTAAAGACTCTTCATAGACTTAGCAGCGTAGTAAATCAAAGGACTGGCCTGGTTTCTGTTAACAAACCTGAAAGGTATCACTTGACCTTGCAATATTAATTTATATAGAAGAAGGCTAATTTATAATTTTATTTCACCTGTGGCAAGCCCAACCTTTGAAAGAGATGCAGTGTGGCACATCTAATTGCATGAAGAAATGGTCTTATGATTTGTGGAAAAGGGGAGAAGTCTAAGTTGGGCTAGTTTTGTTGTTGATTTATTTCTAGAACACACCAAAGGAAAACTTGGTAGTACTCATCAGCACAGACTACATCTAATATTTCATTCTTTTCCACCAAGAAAAAGAAACAATTGAGAGGAAAAGGAAGAGACAAACAGTAATCTGTTTGCAAACATCAGTAAAAACTGGTTAACATTTTATCCAACAACTCTGTGTAACAAGCGTGTATAATATACATGGACTTTCTGAAGCTTCTCAGTATTCCTAGGGGAAAGCTGTTAGGGAAAAACTGTTTGCTTCATAAGCAGAAATAATAATTGTAAAACATAATTAACTGTAAAGCTCAAGCAATGTGTGCATCTACTGCTGGGGAGGGGGAACAGCTGAAAATTGTTATATGTAACAATATGTACCACACAATGAGGAATTCAGACGGTTGGCAGTACTTTCTCTTGCAGAGGTTGATTCTGTTGTATTTTCTCCATTGTAGGTACTTTAGCCAGTGCTGGCTTATCTACCGTATTTTCTGGCATATAAGATGACTGGGTGTACAAGACGACCCCCAACTTTTCCAGTTAA